ATTGTCGAGATAAAAGTGATCCTCAACATTGTTCGAAATATTCACATGATCATGGATCGAGACCTTCGTCTATTTTAAATCATAATCAAACACCTTGTCGTTATGGACGCGATTGTCGTGAGAAAAATGATCCTCGGCATCGTTCGAAATATTCTCATCCAGACAAGTGAATTATTTAGACTCTTATTTTCAAAACATTTTTAATCCTGATCAATGAGTACTTTTTTATATTCGAAATAAAACGAATGTCTAATTGCGCTATAAATATAATATTTAGATTGTTTAAAGAATTCGTACAGATGGCTATTTCAACTATAATACAACAAGGAAAATATAAAATATTATTATCAGCTACGATCTTTCGATTATATCGTTCTAGTAAAATAATATTTTAATTTATTCATATATTTAATTGTATATTCTCTTCAAATACTCAGTCCGCTTATCATTCTATTGTAGTTTTAATGGCATTATTTTTTTAAACATGAATTCATACATATTTGGATAGTTCAAGTATAGATATTATTCAAACAAATAGAATATAATTTAAAGTACGAAAACGTTTTCTATTCTTGGATTATTTAGTAATATATATGCAACTAGATAATGTACAAGACGGATCTATTAAATTAAGGAAAATCTACCAAGTGTACGTTGGTTGCATAAATATGTCTCCTTTTGTCTGTATTATTTAATCAATATTATCAATAATTACAGAAAGATATATATCGCAATACTCATCTATAAGTACATCGACTTTCTGATCTCAAAAAACGATTAACATCAATCTTTTTATTACGAATCATATATTTTCTAGTACTCTTATTTCTACATTGAATACTTTTCTGATTTTATCGAATGAAATACAACAAATCATATCTGTTACAAACAAAAATAATTCATGTTGATAGTCTACAGTAACAAAATCAATTTCTAGTATTTCATTTATTGTAATAGACTCTTTGTTCATCATATTTTAACATTATTATATATTATCTACTACATATCGTATGAACTTTGTACTGTTACATATTTATTTATTTCAAAATAATTCTGTCTTTATATAATTAAATCTATATATCAAATATTATCACAGACAAAAAAGATGAAATATGTTTTTAATATTCGATTATATTTTTCAATAAAAGATAGAAATGTGGTTTGTTTCTCATTATCTCTCAATTATTTACTTATTACATAAGTCTTTTATTCATTCTCTATTTAAATTCTTATCATTTTTATCTTTGTTAGAGAGCACTCTAACAATATTATCACCATTATTTTGTTTTCTTTTTTTTCTTCTTCTTTGGTGTGTGTATGTCTTTCTTTTCTATCTCCTATTTTCTACATGACGATCATAGTGTTCGTCCAGGTCTTTCCCTTCTGTCATATGAGAAGATGAATTGCGTCATCTTCTCTGTTTTCGTCCACTTTGGCGAGATGGTATAAATAGTCAGTTTTTTTCTCAATAAAGTCGGTTAGTATATGGAATTATTTCATCATTTATTCTACTGACTCAGTTACAAGAAATGATTTTGTAACAATCTTCATAATATCGTTGTTTGAAGATTTTTCTCTCTTACTACTAATAATTTAACATAGTTTTCATTTAAATTAAATATTAATTCTAGTAAACATAAAGTGTATTACTAATTAATTTTATTCTAAGAATGAAATTATCTCCAGCTAATTGATAACACTTTCATTGACAAGAAATTCTGAAACCTCTTCTAATTCTTAATTTTCTTGATATCAGTGAAACTTGGTCCATTTATTATTGTATTCATTTATCTTTATTCCGTACACCATGTGATATTTTGCTCTCATTTTATTTTGTCGTCTTCTTGCGTTCTCTTTGGTGGACGGATATATACGTGTATGTTTTGTATGAAATTGACGCGATTCTAGATAAGAAGAAAAATAAAAAAAATGTGTAATACCATCAGCATTAACACGTGTTCTATTAGAAATTTTCACAATTATCTAATCATTTGCTTTATTCTAGAGATCTAGAGAACATGAATACTTCATTGACACGTCACAACGTTGAATTTCCTGCTGAAGATGGTGTTATCTTGCGAGGTTGGCTCTATGAGCCTGCTAAAACGAATGATGATCAACAACTTTATCCAGCAATTGTTATGGCACATGGGTATGGAGCTGTAAAAGAACTCTATTTGGATTTATATGCTGAATGCTTTGTACGATCAAATTTTGTTGTACTTCTTTACGATCATCAGAATTTTGGTGAGAGTGAAGGTGAACCACGACAGGAAATTGATCCACCAAAACAAATTAAAGGTTATAGTTCAGCTATAACCTATTTAGAATCACGGACAAATTTGGTTGATGCTCAACGTATTGGTATTTGGGGTTCAAGTTATAGTGGTGGTCATGTATTAGTTGTTAGTGCAAAAGATAAACGTGTTAAATGTGTAGTTTCACAAATGCCATCGATCAGTGGAACACAAAATTTAAAACGACGTAGAAATGAAGAGGATTATCAAAGCTTATTGAAAGCTTTTGAACGAGATAGACAACAACGAGCCGAAGGACGCCCTCCAAGAGTAATACCAATAATTCGACCAGAAGAACAAAAAGATTGGTGGAATTTCTTTGATGTTGGTCATGCTACAGAAGAAGATAAATGGCGTTATAAAAATTGGAAAAATGAACAAACATTACGCAGTGTAGAAATGTATGGTGAATATAATCCAGAAGAATATGCCGCAGACATTTCACCATGTCCATTGTTAATGCTTGTTGCTGATAATGATACAGTAACATTTACAGAAGATGAAATTGAATTGTTTGAAACAAAAATTGGTGAACCAAAAAAATTAGTTAAATTTAATGGTGATCATTTTTCAGCATATAAAGAACAATTTCAACTTACATCAAAAGAAGCAAACGACTGGTTTATAAAATATTTACAATCTTAATTTTATAAGAACTTTTGTTTTTTTAATTTGTGATTGTGAACTTTAAATTCCATTTATTGTTTTTCTCTTCATTATCACTTATTAAAATCATATAATTTGGCTTAGATTTAACACAGATTAATACTATCAGTTATAAACGATGAGCATCTACAAAAAAATAATCAGCTTTATTGTTGTCATCTAATTATTGGAAATGTGGTATAACCGTTGTATTTGTTCGCTGTTACTGAGAAATACTAAAACAATTATTTTAAAAGAAAATGTGATTTCTCTAAGTCCACTTGTTATATTTTAACGCACAAAATAGTCTAATTAATGCGATTCAATATCAAAAAATACTTTAATAAGCTAATGTTGTCGCAATGTGATACTCTCTTGGCAGTTCGAATAATTTCATCTTTAATAAATTTCACAAGAGAATAAATTGAGAATATGACAGCTTATCTACATAATACTACTGGCAAAATATCTCAGTATTACGTCTTGATCATAACTCTACAAAATTTCCATTCAAAGCTGTAATGAAAACAAGAGGAAGGAGCAAAAACCATAAAGCTACGACAGAGCTACTGAAAAAAAAAATAATAAAACGAAAAAAAGAGCACATGTATCATGTTTTGATGTTTGTTGCAGCGAAAAAATAGACAGAAGCAGTTAAACGAAAAGAAACTCACGAACGAAGAAAAATATGAAATGTATTCAAGCGTAATAATAAATGTATAGATACTCATAGGTAAAAATATTTCTTATGTTTACTTACCTGAAAGCTAATAAGCGTCATTATATACTGTAACCTTATTATTTATAAAAATGCGCTCGAGTATTTTTGAAAATTTTTTGAATTATTTGATATCTTAGAAAAATCCATCTATTTAAATTGAGTTTTAGATCATTTTTCCTTAATCACTTCGATCAAAATGCTATCAACTGCAACACATGTTCCAACTTTTCAAATTAATAAAAGCGAGATTCAAAATCTTATACAATTTATTTATAAATATGAACAAATTTTAAAAGAATTTGGTGCACTCAAGATTCAACTACATGTTGATTGTAAATTAGCTTTGAAGAAACGACCGAAAAATTTATTGATATCGACAATTACGAAACAAGTTTCAAAAGAGAATAAAGATGATCTTGTTTACTCTGTACAACAAACTGATCGTTCTAATGAATCCATTAAACAACGTGCAATTATAAAAGATGAGACTGATTTTTGGTTTAAATTACGATTGTCCAAAAATTATAGACAATTGAATATTTCAATAGTTCCTAATAAAAGTTTCTTTACTGAAAAAAAATCTCACGAGTATTTTGATATTCATCGTATACCAAAGCAATCACTTCTTAGAATAGGTGAGAAAAAAGTAATTAGCCAATGTGTTCCACATGTGAAAAGAGCAAATTCACCAGGCGCAATTTTTCCTTTGAGTTGTGCTAAACAACATCTTTCTTCAATTGATTATCATCATGAAGGTGGTAATCATCAATGGTATGTTATTCCTGCGTATGAACGAAAAGCTTTAGAAACACTTATTAAGAAAGAAAACTTGTCAGTTTGTTTTGATCATGGTAATATATTTATTGATCCGTTACTATTGGATAAAAATCATATTCGTTATCATCGAATTCTTCAATGTCCAAATGAGTTTGTAGTCCTATCAGCTGGAACTCTCGCACAAAGTTTTACTGAAGATACTAGTTGGAGCGAGTCAATCGATTTTGCATTACCTAGTTGGATTGAAGAAGGTCATGCAAATGCTTCTGATTTATCTTGTGGATGTGATACATCTGAAACTTCGTTATCAGAAACAATTGATGTGAATTTATTTCAACCTGAATTAATACAAAAATACATCATTTCCTGTCTTTACAATTTCACTGCTGAAGAATCAATCTCATTGACAGGTTTATTTAGTTATTTCTAAAATTCATTTACGTAATCATATATATTGTTAGATAGCAATAGTAGAGATACAGTTGCAACAACACCAAACAGAGTTAAAATAAACTCCTCGATGGGTGAGCTTGTTTTTTCAATGCTTTGACTAAACTAATGCTATCATCTTGAGGGTGTGGGTGTGGTTTAGTTTTTATGAGAAGAAAATTTGTCTGGTACATTTCAGACTTTACTGAAATCTAGTGTTATCTACAAGAGAGCCATCAAGACAAATGTGTTGTCTTGATTTGTAACCTTTTCGTATAATTTTATTTCTTAAAATCGAAAAAAAAACATAGCTCTTTGTCCCATTTTAGTTGAGAGTTTGGTGTCGACAAATATGCGAGTGATGATACCAAACCTTCCAATTACGTCAGTTGTTCCGACATCATTTACTAACACATATACATGTTGGAATGATAATAATGCTCAAGTTCAGTATGAACCAATGGAGTAAGTGAAATGCGCTAAAAAAGTCATTTTTGAAAGAATCATAGTATGAATCAAGAAATGAATGCTATTAGCAGTTTCTTCTATTTTAAACGTAGTTTTCAATTATTTTGAATTCTTCTTTGATATGTGTGACTATGAATATGACGATCATTCTGAAATCATCTACTAAGTATTTGTATTTATTTCGGTTTAGTTTATGATTCACTTAAATTTTGTTAGTTTTAATAAACATGCGTAGAAAAAGCTTAACTCTCATTTCAAACTCACTTGATTGGATTGTTTCATTGTTGGATAAAAAAACATTGAAATGGATGCGAAACTATATCAATATGATGAATATTGAAGTAGGATTCACAAAATATGTTATAATTTATATGAGAAAGATATTAGCCTAATTGTATATTTATTGCATTGTGTTTGTCAGTTTTGTTTCGAATATATTAAGACCTGAGTATAAGAATACAACTGATTCATAACAATATAAATAGACAGATCAGATCCTATAAGGTAGGCATTTAGTGATCGTAATAAAACCATCTGATCGATTCTTTCGTACGAACGTGTGTTAATCAATAAAACTGAACTAAGAGAAAAACAAGTGTCAGCTTAATTCATTTATTCTTGATAGCGTAATAAACTAAAATAGCAGTTAGTTTTCTAGTGATAGATTTTACATCATCAATGTTCTTTTTGTTTTAGACTACCTAATTTACGGGCTACATCAGATCCCTTATCATCTAATATGACCCTAGTCGACCGTATGACAAATGAACATTTATCAGAATTTAATACTCAAACAAGTCAACCATTTATGACTGATACCATGTCTACGAACGTTAGTCAAAATCTCATCGATAACATTAATAGAAACAATTGCTTCGACCCCTGTGAAGAATTAATGAATTGCCTACCTGTGACTACAAGTTCTAATGCATCCATAAATAATCAAACTAAATCACATATCGAGACGGTAGGTAACAATTTTTAAGAAAGTAATACTTCGAATACACCAGAATATTATACTGTCTGAAAAAGAAATATATATGAAACCGAATTTGTTTCATACTCTGTAGAATCTATAAAACGTTATTAGGATTCGTGAGACGAAACTATATAGGATGTAGAACAAACATGATCAGAAAAATGAAATCAATATTTATAATTTTCATTATGAGACTCATTTTCTTAGAAAATAAAGATATGCCTATAATTTAGGTAAACGCTCCCGCTTATTTATATGTATTAAGATCATTTAGAAAAGACTCACGAGTAATTCTACAATTAAGATTGAATTACAAAATAGAATGATATTTTGTTGTGACTAGTACTACATGATTTATATACTATTTTCCAGTACAAGCGATACTGAGTTGTGTAATTATTCTTAACTTCCTTGAGAGATTCGCTTATTTTTTCTAAATAGCAAAAAATCATTATTATATATATATATCAAGGTAAAATGAACCGATGAGATAGATCAATTTCATCAAATCTACAAAATACTGAAATTTACTGATAACTATGTTTGCAGCGACGTTTTATAAAAAATTCATCTGAAGATCTATAATACATTCGTAAGAGATTGGACATGAATAGAATAGTTTTAATACTTATTAGTAACTGGACTTACTCCTCTATTATCTCAAAAAAGTAGAAATCATCATTCTAGATTTTTTAGAGAAATATTTGATATATATATAGAAAAATAATAGAAGATACATAACGTGAATTGTCTCGTTAAGTAATTGTATGGCTTTATGCAATATTTTTTTTCTAATCCAGTTTAAAATCTCTTTAGAGTAATCCATCCACATATTCCTTATCTACACCTATTTCAACTGTTAACGAAAAAAACGATAAATCAGATTCAAACCAATTATCCAAACATCAAAACACATTATTTGTGTCAGGTTTAAGAAGTAATGTAAGTAAAAGTGATATATACAATCATTTTACTGATTGTATAAAAGTCATATTCAAGCAATACCATTCAACACCGCATCTAAAGTATATTCGATATGTCTTATATATTTAATTGCTAAATAAATATATTTTTTCTAGATATGCTTTTGTTGTTCATCGTACACATGAAAAAGCTAAACGTAATCTTCGTCGGCCTATAAATCGATCGCTTCTAGGTTCGCAATGTCGTGTCGAATGGAACACTCATTGTTCAGACTATTCTAATAATGAACAAAATATTGAGAATAGAAAAATCGTGATTCGTGGAATACCGGAAAACGTGATTGAGAACGATTTTCGTGACTTGTTCGTCAACTGTCACATACTGAAGTATTGTCCAGCACGTCGTATCTACTCTTCAACAGCTACAATGGAAACCAAAGGTCAAAATAAAATTTTGTCAGGGTAAGAAAACCTGATTTTCTAGTAATGCTCGATCTAAGTATAATTATCTTGAGTAAAAGATCCGACTTTGAGTGAGTCCTCTTAACTAAGTCTATGACTGGATTGATAAGGGTACGATTTTTTACTTATTTCTCTCTTCATCCGTATGTTCATTATCTTTTGTGGCACGCTATGTTGTTTTTATTTCATGCTCTATACATCAGTCTGAAAAAGTTTTTATAACAGGTGTTATTTCTCAATCACAATACTATTGAATGATAGATTATTATTGTTTTTCGTAGAATCTTTCTCGAATCTCTTCTTATTTGATTGCTTTCTATGGTACACTGGCCCTAGTAGCATTGGTTGATAATATTGTTAGAGAATAAAAATTTGTACATAATGTCATCATATGTATTTACTACTGTCATATTTATTGAAATAGATTTCTTATGTCGGCATGATCCTCTTGACATAATAGATGATAATTCATTTACTAGTTATATACATGAATAAAAAGTGATCACATACTCTAATTTATGCGATATGAAATAATAATCAACTAGTGAACCGGAAAATCAATAAAATACTTTTTGATCACAAGAATCGAATGTTCAGATCAGAAACAGCACTATACAGTATTAATCAAAAAAATTATATTCATGTTGCTTATAGTAATAATGTAATTATTCACACTATTAACCCTGTATTTCAGACAAAGATTGATTGAGATATATGGAATCTATATCAAAAACGTGTCTCATGAAGTGAATATATTGTGTTCACTGCTCTTTAATCAACTATTTGTGATTTCTTTTCTCTTTTGTCTTTATGGCAGGATAAATGTTAAAACTCGATGTCTTGATATAGTTCATATAAATAAAATAATATTCTGTTGAAATAGTAAAAGATATCCGGCGTTCTCTAGTTAAGATTATATTATTTCAAACAGTTCAACTTATTCATTTGGTAAACTTTATTTATCTTAAACTACGATATATAGATATAGTTTTAATTCATCTGCATTTATTTATTTTTCTATAGGTATGCTTTCCTTATCTACGATACCGAACAGCAAGCAGCAAACGTAATTGAGCATACCGATCAATATAAAATCAATGGCCAATCATTAACTATTTCTTTATACTGTCATAAAAGATGATTGTATACAACAATAAAGAAAACAATTTGTTAATTACAACCTTATTTTTTAATAGACATGTTGTTATATCTTCTCTCTATAGTAGAAATGCAAAAAGAATAGATTGTTTTAATAAAGATTAGTAAGAAAGGACAGATATCATAGAAAACGAACAAAATTTTTTTCAACAAATGACTCCGGATCAGATCAACATTTTGATCAGCTAGCAATAAGCTGTTTGACAAGTTCATATAGGACACAATTCAGAAATAGCAAATGAAATTGATAAAATAATATAGTGAGAATGTTGTATGTGGACTGGTTACTACAAATGATCGCAGAATTAATAAGATTGAATTACCTTAATCAATGCGTACACACGTCGCTATCGTTTAATTTTTAATAGACATAATGGCGTATATGACTGACTTTGACTTTCAAGATCGGTGTGTGTATTAGTGTGGATGAAGCTGAAGATGACACACCCACACCCACACTCTCATGATCGTAATTTGTGAAAAAAAATATATATTAGAAGAATGGAACAATATTATTTGAAACAGCTTGCATAAACACTTATGAAACATCAGCTTTTCTATTCTATATAAGAACTGATTCAATCGAAGAATATTCGTTGAGCACGATCGGTGGTGACTTTCTTTAAAATAGTGTCTATTTTATTAGAAAAAAATTCAAGAGCTTAAGAGAGGGTCCGCCAGACTACCAAACAAACAGGCTGGAGCCAAATTTTTTTTTTGAGATTTGACTAGGCCAAAAGAAAGATCATATTAAGAAACCTATAAATCCAAAATATTAGCTTTTTCTGACTTTCCTATAAAAAAATTTTCTAGTCACAACTTATCATGTCTTCGAATTAAAAAATGAAAATTGAAAACAATAATTTTTTTTTTATTTTCGTGGTATTTTGAGATTTTCTCAGCCATACTTCGTCGCTTGAAGGTCGGGTTGGTCTTAAAAGATGCAGCAAAGAGTTTTACACAAAACGGTTAAATTGGAAAATCTCCACAAAATCATCTAGTAATGAATATTTTTTCAACAATGCAAAGGGGGTCCCTAGTTTATAGAAGTCATTTCACCAGTAATTTGACTCTAACTACATCCTACTATTCTATACCAGATAAATGAACATATTTTCTGAAAGCCCTTGAAATTCTGCATTTTTTGGTATATAACTCAAATTGAAAAAAAACTCGGACAGTGCTTTAGT